ACCTGACACATTAACAGCTACTAGTCACCTTAAAAGCCAGAATGATTTTTCTCCCTGAAATAAAGGAAAAAGAAATAGATTTAACTAGATCCTGACTCAGAATATATTTTAGGGTCAGTGCGAGTGAAAGGAAAGCAGAGGAGTCCAGTAGGTATGGCTTTGCATTTCTGCTGTGTTCTAGACCTATGAGCATCTAAAATCCACCGGATTTCTATAAACCTTGGGTTCTCCAAATGAGAAAAAGCTTTGGGAATATTTAATGTGGTGGTGATTTGAAAGCTCTTGTAGCTTTTAAGAATGATGTCAATGGTATTTATGGATATTTACTGTAACAGGCTTCTGAAGTTTAGAGACAATGTATTCTTTAGCTTATGTACACTACCAATGAATTGAGCTTATTCTTCTTCAGTATATAGGATACAGACTCAGTTGTTCAAATATTTTAATCAAAGTAAGTAAACTTTGTCTTTTGGAGACTATCAACTCATTTATACAACACAAGCCTGTGAACACTTTCATCCAGTATATCCAGGTGACTCATTCACCTCTATTCTTCATGTTCACTCTAAAGTGTGTTAACAAAGAAGTGGTGTGCAGTAAAGGCTGGTAGAGAGCTTAGTGAGTAAAGTGCTCTCCGTGTGTTGTGTTCTGAATGAGAATGAGCCCCATCAGCTCATTTGTTTGAGTGCTTGTTCTGCATTTGGGATAGCTGTTTGGAAAAGACCAGGAAGTATGGACTTGTAGGAGGAGGTGCATCAATGAAGACAGGCTTTGAGGTTCAAAAGCCTGTCCCATTCCCACCTGGCTTGCTCTCTTTCAGCCTTGTGCTGACTCAGATGCAAACTCTCAGCCACATCTCCAGCACCATACCTGCCTGTGTGCTGCTCTGCTCCCTGACACATGCCCTGAAATTAGAAGCAAGCCCCCAGTTAAATACTTTCTCTCATAAGTTGTCTTGGTATTGGTGTCTCTTCACAACAATAGAAAAGTAGCTAAGATAATATGTAAGCATATGGACGTTGAGTTTGGTACCCAGAACTAAGCTAAAATAACAATAACAAGAACAGGTATGGTGGCACAAGCTTCTAATCTCGTGTTGGGAAGGCACAGACACACAGATCCATGGGGCTTGCTGGATGTTCATCCTAACTTAATTAGCAAGCACAAGGTCAAGGAGAAATCATCTCTTAAAAAAATAAAGTTTAGTGCACCTTAAGAAACAGCATTTGAGGATGAAATCTGTCTTCTATGTATGTACATGTGTATCTGGCCAAAAACATGTCTAGGTACATAACACACACACACATATATTAAAATATATTAAAATTTATGTTTCACCTTTATTGTAATAAATATATGATTTTGACAAGTGGGCTGATTATTAAACTGCTTTGTCAATTCATATCTCTTTAACTCATATGCTACTGCAGGTCTCACACCTCACAGGAGAAGTTTCTCTGGGTTATGGGTGGTGGTTCACACAGAAACTCAAAACTAATCAAAATTCACAGGATAAGTGTCAGTAGAGTTCTCAGCCAAAAATGGGGCATGAATGTTACCCAAGCCTCAGGGACTATAGTGGGAGAGCGGAGAGAAAGATTTTAAGAGGTTGAGAAAAACCAGAATACAGATTCTCCTTAACATGACAGCACTGTGGAACACATGTTCCTCCTCATAAGAGAGGGAGCCATTCAGCATTGTGGAGAAGTGAGGGGGGATCGCAAGCCTTCATCCCTAGCCTAGAACCTAGCACAGATGATGTCTTCTGGGAGGAGAGCTGCTGTTTTCTAAGGATGTGGCTCAGGTGGATGGACATATAGACCCATGAGTTTATGGGCAGCACAAGTTGGAACGGGTGGGTGATGAAAAACAATGTAGAGGACACAAGTGGGAAGATGTGGATCTGGGTGAAGTGAGGGGGAGTGACAGGAGGATGAATATCATCGAGATACACGGTATGCACACATAAAGTCCTCAAAAATAATAAAGTATTACAGTTAAAGATGAAAATATAAATAGTAGTGTAAAATTGCTAAAACGCCAGGACCTCCCCATTCATGTTTAGTGAAAAGACTACCAAGGAGACCAGAGCACATGCTACTTCATTTGCATTCATTTATTTATTTATTTATTTATTTATTTATTCATTTATTTATTTATTTTTCTCTGAACAGGAACATTGATCCTTCAACAAAGTGTCTCACATTCGATTTCAAGGTAACCTGAAACAAATGGCAGGCATGTAATTATTAATCCAAATGGGTCATTCTCTAGGAAACTTATAAGACACACCTGCATATACATGTATGTCCACGTATTTTTCATTGTTGTCTTATACGTTGCCATAGAATCGTGTGTAGTTCAAGAGTAGAAAAACACTCAACACATGAATACTGAGTCAGAGCAGGAAAGTATCAGAGCCTTTCCGTGTGTGTGTACATATGTATTACATGCTATGGTTGTGTACATGCATTGCAGTGAGTTTTTTTTTTTAAATAATCTTACAGGTCTATATTTAGTCTACAATATAAGCCTATACTTCCTTCTCCATCAAGGACTTGGAGACTCTCCATCTTGATTCTGGAAAGTTTTAATGACAGTATATCTATTTTAAGTGAAACATAGGGTTGTAGCTTTTTTGAATGTTATACTTACAAGATTGTCTTTGCTTTTTAGCACTAAATAGCTTATGTTACTTTTTAAAGGACTAGGATGAACTTTACTTTAGGGTATAGATTCAGGAGTTCATCCAATATGAACTTTATATTAAAATTTTGTTTCTCTTAATCCTGTTATTCAGTCTTAAGTATAAAAAAATTGTTTCTATTAGTAGAAAATGTTGAAACAAAAATAGAAAAGGCTTGATTTATTGTGTCATAACAGGTAAGGACTTTAAACTGTTATGTTATTGGATCTTAAGAGGACATAGTACATAGCTCCACCATTGATACCAACAATATCTACCAGAGAAAAGTACTGAAACATATGGGATCCTAACAGCTGGGAACAATCATGGAGTGACTGATACATTCAAACCCACAAGTAGGAAACAGAGCAGTCAAAGTGATTGTATTATTTGTACTCACCACTTGTTTCATCTTAAATCACTCTCTGACTTTTCTCTCATTCTGTGTATAAGGAGATGCAGCTGCAGAGGAAAAGAATGGCTGGGGAAAAGGATAATAAATATACCATGGATAGAATGGATTTCGGATTGGTGGGTATATGCCAAACGGATTCCGGTATGGAGGGAAATAAATCCGTGGAAATGATTCGTCACTGTCACTGGCCTGTTAAAAAAAGAAAACATTGCTTGTTACAGTTCTCTTTCATGTGGGTTTTTCTTCTTAAGGAGAAAGCTTAAAATTAAGGTCAGTTTTTATTTGTAGAAGTAACAGGGACTTGACTTTTTCAGTTTAGAAAATCAGAGATAACTATAGTCAAAGTAAGCCATTCTAATAAAGCCTTCTATAGCTCTAAGCCAATGCTGAGAGGTGAAGGTGCCATAATATAAATGTTTGATTCATATGACCATTAACCTAACCAATGTTGAAAGTCATCTCTCTTGTTGTATCTTTTTCTCATTCTGTGTCTATCTGTTAATTTTGTACTAAGCAGATGAGGTCTTATGTTATTGACTTATGCATGGCCATGTCAAGGATCCCAGTGTCTCAGGCCCATGGGAATGGCAGATCAGGGTCATGCTCAGAAGAATGGTTCAGCCTTCCCTTAGCCCACAGAAGAAATGTTTACAGTTACCTACAACCAGTGTGTGCAGAAAGCATCAATGACAGCTTTCTCCTCCCAAATGACAACAACCTAACACTCCTTCCATTCAGAAACCCCCTGCTGGCATGAGCTAACCATCTCCTCTTGTTCTTGCTGTAGGTGATAGAGGGCAGAGTTTCTAGGTGCTGTTGGTGTATCCCCATCAGAGCACGTGGCCTTCCCCCTCCCGGCTTTTCTGCATGTATGGCTGTCAGTTCTTTACTCCATCACCTTAGTCTTCTTGAATGTTTTTGCTTGTCCATTCATAGTAAACAATGTTTTACTGAATTTTCCCTCTTTGGCCATCAAGGCTGGCCTACTACTATGTAGAATGGGATGTCAAATGTTCCCAGAATGTCCTTAACTCAATGCTATTGGAAGATGGTGCCTTTAAGAGGTGAAGTCTTGTGGGAAGTTTTAAGTAACTAGGCTGTGCCCTTTGTCACACAGTGATTCAAACTGAATTCTGAATGTCATTGTTACATGAGGTGAAAAGGTATTTCTCTCTATAGGCAGATATTAATCAATTACTCTATACTAAATTCAGGCATTCCTCCAAAAATCAAACTCTATACCTCTGTCTAATATTAATGCCCCAAAGATCCTTTACAATTTCTGCAGAGGCTGAGAGTTTCAATAACCAAATGCCTCTAACCACCGTTGTGGTGCTCTCATGCAGAAAGCTGACATGTAAAGATGGAAAGCAACTTACACTTCGTTTTTCTCGTTCCTGGTCATGAGGCATCTAAATATCAAAAGGTGAAATTAGCTTGTGATGTATGAAAACACATGAGAAATATGTACATATACACATGAGAAATAATTCAACAATTGTCTAAATGCTGTTTTGAGCTATCCATTAAAATATAGGATTTGGCTGCTTATAGAGTTGATGTAGAGATAATTGGTAAATTTTGTTCTTCTTTTTTCCCCAGTGCTGACAATGAACCATCAACCCTTAGGCTTCTCATAGTTAGTGTATAGGTTGGTTTTTGTCATCTTGACACAAGGTAGGGTTATCTGGGAAGAGGAACCTCAGCTGAGAAATCATCTCCATTAGATTTCTGATGGGCAAGTTTATAGAGCATTTTCTTGATTAATTACTGATGGGGAAGGGTCCTGACTACTTTGAGCAGTACCACCCCTGATCAGGTGGTTCTAAGTTGTATGAGAAAGCACAGTGAATAAGCCACAAGGAGCAATTCAGAAAGCACCACTCTTCGTGGCCTCAGCTCCAGTTCCAGCCTTCTGTTCCCTTCTTCTTTAAAATTAATTTATTTTTTATTAATTACAGTTTATTCACTTTGTTTCCCAGATGTAGCCCCCTCCCTCATCCCCTCTCAATCCCACCCTCCCTCCCTCATCTCCTGCTATGCCCCTCCCCCAAAGTTCCTTCCTATTCTGATGTCCCTTAGTGATGGAGTGGGATCCAAGAGTTGCAAGTTGCAATAAACTTGCAACTTGCAAGTTTATTGTTTCCTCCCCAAGTTGCTTTTGGTTTCAGTGTTTGTCAGAGCAGTAGAAACTAACCTGAGACAGCTCTCAGGAAAGTGCTCTAACACTCAGTGGTACTCCCATTTCTTAGAATTTTTCTTTTATTTTGCTGCATTTGCTACTGCACAAAAACTACTTTGAACCAAATCATGCACCAAAGAGCATATGACATTTTCTGAAACATAATGCTACAGGTCAGGCTGTAAGTATATTTATAACCTAAATTGTGCAGAGAGATTAATAACATCATGGAGAATCGTGAATCATAACATAAATTTATTAACACTTTAGAGATTAGACGTGAGTACTCACCGGGAGACAAGCAGCTATTGCCAGCATGGCGGAGAGCAGGAGGATGGCTTTCATCTTACTCAGAAGATTCTAGACATCACAAGGAAGAACATTAACAGAAATGAAGAAGATGCAATCCCAGTTCAGGGTATGTATGTTACAGCTCTCCAGACTTAGCCAGCCATTTGCAGTGAGTTTACTAGTGGGTCACTTTTAAAGTAAATGCAGGGGTGATTTGCAATTTGATTAGTTTATGATATCAGTTCTTTAAAAATAACTATTCATGTATTTATAAATGCTATTTTATATACCCTTTTGAGTAGAATATTATTGATCAGTACAATATTATTGATACAGTTTTTCTGAAGAAGATTTAGTGTTTTACACAGAGGAAAATGTGGATTTCCCATGTCATTAACATCACTGGGGAGTTACTTTGAGATCATGGACATTCATTTTTACCACTCACTGAACCTTCTTATGTACCTATGAGAGGAAAGAAAGTATATATATATATATAAACATTGCCACATCTTGAACTCTGTCTTTGTTTCTCATCAAATCAATGGAAATCTAAATTAGAATCTACAAATTGAATTGATGATATGTTTTAAGAAGACTGATGAGTTTTAATACAGAAATTTAAAAGTTTTGTTAAGTTCATCATATAATGGCAGACTCTCAATATAGAAAACATATAGTGTGATTCCCCCATACTACCACACACACATACACAAATGTGCTTCCATCTTCCTTGTTCAAGCCTGGTGCTGGCCATGCTCCAGGATGTAATAAAGGTTGAGCTCTTTCAGGTAAGGCTTATTTAGAGATAGATTACCATGACTTTAATGTAAAGTGACATGTGATATCCACTAGACACAGAAGGTACAAACTGTCGAGAGCATATAGAAGGGACAGAATGGGAATATAACTTTGAAAAGAATAGAACTGTAGAGGATTTTATACAGTGGGTTGGTTTTCACGGATCATTTAAAATCTCATTAAACAGAGGGATAAACCATGCCATTGACACCTTGGACCATGTTTTTTAATCACTACCTGATATAATTACCTACTACTTTTTTTATTTCTCAAGCCTTAGCCGTATACTGTTATGTTGAAAAATTGTATGTCCTAATTGAATCAGATGCATCTAGTAATTATTCAAAGATTACTAGAAAAGAGAATTTAAATGATTTTATATTAAAACCAACACGATATATTAGACTGGTATAAATCATGACACATTAAAGGTGAATCAGGAGGCGACTAATGAGGTGGTGATTCTTTTTCTTTTATCAAGACAGCGTCTCACTATGTAACTCTGGCTGTCATGGAACTCACCAGGTAGATCAGGTTGCCTCAGGCTCACAGAGATCCATTCACCTACCTCTGCCTCCCAAGTGGTGTCACTAAAGGCTTGCACCATTATTCCTGGCAAGTTCAGAAGTGGTAATTCTTCACTGCACAGAAAAACTGAAGTCTTTGCTGACTTGGTCTAATCAGTTCAAAATGATGAATCTGATCTTATTCCCCTTCCCCTGAATCAGTGCCCCATCCACGGAAAGACTCCTTTATGGTCACTCTTAAATTACATCCTTCTCAACGGAAAATGATGGTTTTAAAGACGTTTTTACAAACAGATATACACACAATGATTGTCAAACTACTGTTTGTAAATTCAAGCAAGTGTTCCATGATAGTTTCAGTTCTGGTAGTTTATAAAAATTAACATGCATATATAATATCCATCTCCCAGAAGAGTCCTACAGTCATAGCTCACAGTGACAGTTCAGACCCCTCTTACCTTACAATCTCCACTCAGTTTCTTCTCTCTGATGCTTCTCTGAGAAGTGGTGGATGGCTGGCACTTCAAACTTGCATCTCTTTTATACACACATAGAGCTGTGGAATGGAGAAGTGGCTGAAAAGCCGATCCCTGGGATCAGTTTATTATCAACTGACTCATCAGCTCTCACAATCCATTGAAACTGAGAAATTACCAACATTGTCAGTTTCATGGAAACTGCGGCTGAGTGAATGCAGAACAGTTCCTTAGTGGTTTTCCTTTAAATTTTGTCTCTTGTGGATTTGAGGTTTATTGTCCTATAGACAGAAATGTTTCATATCTATTATACCATTTAATCCATAAAGCAGCCACCAACAACCAAAAACAGATTGTTAAATCTTCCCATCATGTAGACCAAGGGTGTGAGAAATTGAGAGGGTTAGAAATTGAGTTAAGAGACCCCAACTAGAATTTTGTCCACGTTGGGTTGATTGTTACAGCTGGTTCCCAGACCCACCTGTAACCGGCATCTTACAATGTCAGCCTAAGGATAGTAAAAACCAGAGAAACATGAAACTTTATTTATTTGTAGCAACATTTAACCTTGTTTCACTGACTTAAAGAGAACCAACAGTTGATCTGCTACATACAATATAGCATAATATTGATTTTCACTTTGAGGATTCTGAGGTCAGGATAGGTTCTCTTCAAGTGATAGATGTGAAAAGTGCATGTGTGCATGCGTGTGCGTAAGTGCATGTCTGTGCATGTGTTATGTGTGTCTGTTGTATGACATGCTATTGAATGCCTTAACTAAAAGTTGATTTTAGTTTCTTCTACATAGCTGACAGTATTCTAGTAAAGATTGCTAATTGTCTTTGATATTTGAAACCCAGTTGTACTCTTTCGTTTTCATGTTGTGTCTTGACATTTAATAATGACTTCTTATTAAAATTCCAAAGGCCTAGTATTTTCTTCCTTAGTTCTTTCAAATAATTTTTTATTTTTGTTTTTATTAATTACAGTTTATTCACTTTGTATCCCCCTGTACCTCCTTCCCTTCTCCCCTCCCAATTCCACCCTCCCTCTTCCCCACCCATGTCCCTCTCCTATTCCACTGGTAAGGGAGGTCCTCCTCCCCTTCCCTCTGATCCTAGTCTATCAGGTCTCATTAGAAGTGGCTGCATTGTCTTCTGTGGCCTGGCAAGGCTGCTCCCTACTCCAGGGGAGGCGATCCAAGAGCAGGCCATTCATTTCCTGTCAGAGACAGTCCCTGTCCCTATTACTATGGAAGCCACTTGGATACTGAACTGCCATAGGCCACCTATGTGCAGGGGTTTCAGGTCATCTCCATAAGTGGTCCTTGGCTTCAGTATCAGTTTCAGAAAAGACCCCTGTGCCCAGACTTTTTGGATCTGTGGCTGTCCTTGTGGAGCTCCTGTCCTTACCAGGTCTTACTCTCTCCCACTTCTTTCATATGATTCCCTACACTCTGCCCAGAGTATGGCTATGACTCTCAGCATCTGCCTCCATACCCTACAGGACAGAGCCTTTCAGAGGCTCTCTGCAAATAATTTTATTTTTTCACATATTTTGATTGCATTCTTTCACCGGCATCTCCTTCCAGATTCTCCCCACTTCTCAAACGAACATGACCTAAAGTCACACTCATTCATATTCTATCTATCAATGAAAAAAACAAAACAAACATACTATCTTCTTTTCCATTTCCTTTTGCCTTCTGTGCTCAGCTTTTTGTCTGAGTTTCCATATGTGTTTGATCACATGTGATTCTAGTCTTCACATGGAATAAGTAGTGTAAAAATTCTATGACCATGGTTTAGCCTAGGTCGCCTGGTACACAGGCTCTTTTTATCTAGCTGCATATTTTACAATGATGTTTGATGGACTTCTCAGACAAACCAAAGTAAACTTGGTGTTTTCTTTTCAAGTCTGCTGCTGATGCTCAGTAACTATCCAGCCATCCAACAAGGAAATGTGAGCTTTCTACATTTTTTCCTTTCTTCAGTTTATACTTTTATGCATGCATATAATGGACTTTAGTCATTTTACCCTCCATTATCAACTTTCACGCCTTTCTCCCACTGAATTCTTTTCTTTTTTTGTCACACGAGCACGTTTCTTACTATTCATTTTTTTCATACAATGTGTTTTGGTTGTATTCATTCCTGTTGACCACCTCCTCCTAGCTCCTACCTCCTTCCCTAACCTCTCAGGTTCACACTCCTTCCTTTCACTCTCAAAAATAAAATCAAAACAGACATCTAAAGCCAGTAAGACAAAATACTAAACCAGATTAAACTAAGGGGCAAGATTATAGGAACCAGAAGTGGTAGATGTCCCAGGGAAGCATTATTTCCCAGACAAACTACAAACTTGAACTCACTGAGATTGAAAGCACAATCAAGACCTGCTCAAGTTCAAAGGAGACAAAATACCATCGTTTAAGGAAGAGGAGGAGGACACACAGTCCCACCCCATCCACGAAACTGTTTACAATCGATACCTGCTGTTATCAAGAGAAGACCAGTTTTCTCTAATAGAGTGTCGCTTGGTACATCAACCACACTTCAAGGCCAGGCCTTGTGCTCCAGAGCAGTTGGTCAATACAAAGCACCTTTCATGTCTTTTTTTTTTTTAATGTGACTCATTGAGTTTAGAATTGTTTGCAAGTAATACATCAGAGGCAAGAGAAATTCATCAGAGGCTACTGCACTGAAGAAAATGGTATCACTTCCCTCAGCCAACAGTAATTGCCAGCAGTCCCTCAAGGAGTGCTGGGAACTCAGGGTTCCTTCCCCATCCTCAGTGACATGGTAATAGGCTTAGTCTAACTCAGGTTTGTGTCATGACTACAGCTTCAGTCTTGACTAGACAATATCTTTTTGGTACACACCTCTCCATCATTTGGCTCTTACATCCTTTCTTCCATCTTTTCCATTATGCTCTCTGAGCTCCAGAGGCTGTGCATAGATTACCGATGTAGGGCTCACCACTTCACCAGCACTGACTCTTCACCTCCTGACCAGAAGGTTTTTCTGAACAATGCTGAGAGCAGCACTAATCTGTGGACATAAACACATTGAGAATGAAGTTTGTCAATGTGTCTCTTTAGCACAATAATAGTATATGTTCCCTCTAAGGGCCTTTGAGCTACCCAGCCAGGGTCACTACTCCAGACTTCTACCCACACCTCGGCCCTGAGGAGCAAGCCTAAAATCTAGTCAGAAAGTAGATGGTTCACCAGAGCACACATCTTGCTGTAGCTCACAGCAAGCTCACAGACTGCGTGCACAGATTACACAGCCTTACTGTAGCTCACCTGCTTCTAGCTCATTTTCAGCTTCATCTCCCTATTTGTTCATCCATGGTATAGAACAACTGAAGCAATAGGATGTTGTCAGCTAGTTCGGGGGATAACTAAGAGGAATGACAATAGCCACTATTGTTTTGGGAGCCTCCAGAGTCTCTTTAATAACTTGTGCAAGAGTATCCCACACCTCACACTGGCGTATTTGTTATTTTTTTTTCTTGAAAAGGACTTCGGGGGGATTCATATGAAACAAGGTGGACAGACTATCATACATAAGAGGTCTTAAGTATTTGGGGGGACTTAGATGTTAGAGACAAGAGTTAAAATATGTCAATACAGTAGGAGACTCTAAAAGGACAAACATGCAATCATAAGAACACCCATCTCAGGGAATCTTATGAAAGAAGAGGGAGATAGAAAGACCTGGAAGGATCTGGATCTCCACAAGGAGAACAACAAAACCAAAAAATTTTGTCCTAGGAGTCTTTTCTGAGACTGATACTCCAACCAAGGACCAAGCATAGAAATAACTTGGAACCTCTGTACAGATGTAGCCCATGGCAGCTCAGTCTCTAAAAGGGATGCACTAGTAAGGCAACCAGGGCTGTCTCTGACATGAACATAGTAGCTGGCTCTATGATCACCTCCCCTGAGAGGGGAGCAGCCCTACCAGGCCACAGAGGAAGACAGTAGAGCTAGTCCTGATGAGACCTGATAAGCTAGGATCAGATGGAAGGGGAGGAGGTCCTACCCTATCAGTGGACTGAGGAAGGGGCATCAGAGGAGATGAGGGATGGAGGAAGAGCATTATTGGTTTTGGATACAAAACCATAAATTGTAGTAAGTAAAAATATATATATATATATATTAAAAAAAAAAACAGCCATCTCTGCAGATACTCAGTAAGCAGCTAGGAGATCACAAGCTGGGGTGTAGAGGAAGGCATTTCTGCATAGCCCATGGAATTAAATGATCTTTCTTTGCCCCGGTTCAACCATAATGCATAGTCTGGGTGAAACAGGAGGAAAAGCCACTGTAGCAGTCATATAAATACAAAAATCCTTTAATCATTAGTGGATTAGAATTAGTGGTAGGGAAGTTCACATTACAAGCCAGTGTGGCAGGGAGGCCTTGAGTGGAGTGCCCACTGGTTCTTATTTGAGTAAAAGAACAGAAGTCTAGTCTCACATCTGTGGTCTGTAGAGTTTGGAACTTGGAAAAGGCTGACACATCTTAGACAGTTATCATCATGTTGTGTGAACTGAAGACTGAGAAATAACTTTCATATATGCTGATAAGGATTTTTTTTAACTAACAAAACAAAACTATGTTGCCTTTTTTCAAGAGAATGGATTTAAATTCATGCCTGAGTTCTCTTTAATGCCATGTTCACCTACAAGTGAATTCAGTGGCTATATATTTCTGCAAACTAACTGTGTGTGGATGTTATAAGGACCGATTAATTTCACCAATTCCTTGTCTATTTGGCGTACAAGTGATTTTAAAGAAAGGCATTACAGAAGTTTTAAGTTTGAGTTTAATGATGCAAGTGACAGAGCCCCTTTCAGACAAGGCTGTGCCCACATCATGGATCAATTGCCCAGGTCTGGCTCCCTTTGGTCTAAGTATACGTTTAATGCATCCCGCTGAGTGTATGAAATGTGTGACTTATGTGGGCATGTCTACTGTATAAGAGTTTAAGACTACAGTCCAGGATCTGAGTCCCATGGCATCAT